GTTATTTTGTTAAATAAGAAAATGTCTGTGTCATGCACATTGCAATCATCAGTCGTAAGTGGTCACACTGGGAAGAGATGGCTTTGACATTTCTGTTGTTCCAAAAACAATTCACTCTATTTAGAAAGTACAAAGCATTTCAGCGTAACAGTCTTGCTTGCAGTGGTCGAACAAATTTCACATGGCACAGGAATCAGTGTTTTGCTCCATTTGGTTCTGCATAGAGTGGGGCAGTGCTATGGCCTGTATGGTCATTATTTTGTCCCACTTTCTTTCACTCATCAAGGAAGCAATGCTAGGTTAACAGGTGCATCACAAGGAATCATACATAATGGGTATGAATCATCATAAAAAGGTCAGGTTATGTACTTCCTGTGTGGGGTGACCAGGTTAACGACCATAGCCAGAATAGACACTCGTCTGCGCACATATTGTTTGCTTGACAGATCTGCAAGAAAAGCCAGCAACTCTTAAGATGATATTTATGAAGTTATATTCATGCTGTTAACATTGCATTTCTGTCAGTTTTTTATTAGCTAGTTGAGAGTCGATTATAATTGCTAGAAGTGCATATGAGTTGCAGAAACTTGTCAATTTTTTTTTGCCTCAAACTAGGAAAGATATATCTGGTGGCTGCATAAGGAGCATAATACAATGTTTGAGACTCTTGGAGACTTTGTGGCATAAACACAATGTCGATCTGGGTGACCAACTCAAAATGTCCTTAGTTGTGGCATCGTGAGGCACTATAGGCTCAGATCTACAGTAATATGCTCAAAAACCATCGATTTGCCCTTGAAGCTGGAAGAGAAAATGAAATTCCTGCGGTCTGTGGTCACGACTGTAAACGACCGAGGTGATTGCACGTAAATGTCCTTGAACTTGTGAAAGGTTTTGGTTTCTGCGTCCCAGAGGTAGATCTGTGTGAAGGAGTAGTCGCTGCCGAGGGCGAGATAGTGTCTGTCTCTGAAGGAGAATGGCTGGAGGATCATGGCTCCTCGAGACGGCAGGGCCTGCACCTCCGTGAACAGCTTATTGGCCCATTTGAGGATTTTGGAGTCACCGATGTAGCAGGTCATGGCCAGGTACAACTCTCTGTCCTCTCGAAACGCTTTGACTGCCACAACGTCATCCACATTCTGAATCTCACCATGGAGTATGAACTTCAGGGAGCTTTTGTTCCACAGGTAGATGACAGGTGACTGAGATCGACTGGCTAAGATGAGGTAGGACTTCCCGTCCACTTCAACGAACTCAGCGTCGGTATCGCGAAACCACTCATGGAGAAACTGGTAGGAGTTAAAACCAGTTTCATTGCGGTCTGGCTGGTCGACCCACTTGTACAGAGTCGACAGTCCAGCCTTGGAGCTGTCCACAATCACAAAATACCAATCACCATCCATTTGGAAGACCTCGATGTCATTTGGCTTTGAGATGTTGAAGACCTCGATGGTTTGAAACTTGGTGAACTTGTTTTGGTGATCATCAAACTTATAAATGTGGGATCCACCAAAGAGCTGGGTGACAATTATAAGGACGTGGCTGTCGATCAGGACCGACTTACATCCAACAACCGACTTCCCTGCAAGAAAAAGAGGTTGTCAACAGAGAAAATCACTATGAAAATGATTATTGACAAGCAAAGAGAATAAGGTGATCAGACTTTGCCTTTGTTGGTTTTGGCTGTTTTGATGAGATCTATTGACATCAGAAAAATATTGAATATCACTAGCTTTGTCTTTTATTTTTGAGCGATTTGTCAAACCTGTGATATTGTCAAATATTCTGAAGTTCATTTCGATGTGATCCCACTCCATGACCACACAGCTGTTGGTGTTGGGAGCAGCCATCGCCACATAGATGTCCTCTTTAAAGGAGAAGATGTCTGCTGACATGGACTGAATGGGAATGGACTGATGACGCACAAAGTCTGTGAGATGCAAACACAAACAACAATTGTCAGTCAGTCTGCAGACTGAGTGAAACCTTCAGGAGCTAACTACTTAAATTACATTTATCTTGCTGCATATAAGCTGTACAGTCAGAGCAATCATCTACAGAATGTTGGTTACTTTGGTTTTAATATTGTAAATTTAACACATTAGAGTTATATCATTTTCATAGATTATTAACAAATTGACTCATGTCTTTTTACATAAGTGAACAAAATCCTTTTGTGTTATTAACAATTGTATTTATACGATATTTCGAAAACAGTTTTACATAGGAATGAACTGACATCCTGTTTTTTCTCTGTACAACTGTCTTCTGTTTAGTGCAGAATGGTGCATGGTAGCATCCTGTTTATTTATTCAACACTTTTATTGATTTCCTTCTTTCTCATTGCACTCGTTATTTTTACCTGTGGAGATGCACTGGCCTGGTGGAATAGGAAGGTCGCTGAGCCGTTTGCCCTTCATATCACCGGGCCCTGCGCAGAAGACATCCGACACTGTGGCGTTTGTGTTTTTCAGCCACGTCATCAGCCACTTGTTCTCACAGCTGCACTGGAAAGAATTGCCTCGTAGATCCCTAAGACACGGTAGAGAAGGAACCGACATTCACAGAATGAGTTTGGACACATTTACTGGAGGAAACTGTAAAATATGAAACATTTGTTTTTTTATATTGATGAGAGGAAAAGATTGAGAGTTCGAGAAGCCACGAAGACTCAAGACAGTTCAGTAAATCAGTGACAAAACAAAGTGCCCATCCATCCATCCATCCATCCATCCATCCTTCCATCCATCCATCCATCCATCCATCCATCCATCCTTCCATCCATCCAAAAACATTACACCTATTGCATCCCAACAAATATTCCTTTGGGTAATCCAAATGACAGTGTTGCATTCTGCAGGGTAAAAACCTTCCCTATATACAAATAATAACTATGCAGGAACAAAAATTAACAAATAATTACTTTAACTTGATAAGTAAGTTATTTTGACATGTTCGCAAATAATTTCAGCTAATTTCATAAGTAAGTTTATTTAACAGGTTAAAAAAGAAATGTTTTGCTACGACTAAGTCACATCCATAATATTTCTGCGACTTTTATTTTGAAGACATTTAATGCTGACAAACACACAGCCTGAGTCAGCACACACACACACACACACACACACACACACACACACACACAGTGCTGATGGTAAACTGCTTACTCACAGTTCCAGCAACGAATCCAAATCAAAAAAAAGATCTCTAGGCAGAAACCTCATCTTGTTGTTGGCGAGGGAGCTGAGAGACGCAGGAAACACAAGAGGAAAAAAACACTGTCCTGTCAGTAATCTGTGACATCATCCGTCTAATAAATATGTCTGCTCACTGTGAGTTTAAAGTATAACACATTTGAGGGAATGATAACTGACTTACAGATGAGTCAGATCTCGTAGACCACGCAAGGAATTTTTGGTGATGGTTTCAATCTTGTTGCCTTCAATGAATCTGCCCAATGAACAAGAAGACTATGGTTTAGCATCGTGGACCAAGAACAACATGATTAAACTGAATACATCATGTTCATGTGTGGATAAGTCAGTAGTGCTTTCATGTGATGTCATCTTTTTTCTTTTCCCTTTTAACTAAGTTTATATGTGACTTAATCTTATATTCATATATGAAATTTGAACAACGCTTTGTTTTCCACTGCTTTTTTTTCACATTGCTTACTTCTGATCGTATTTTTCTTCCATTTGCCTTTTGCTTGGCTGTCAAAGCACTTTGTAAAGCGCTTTTTAAAGGTGCTATATAATTAAAGTTTATCATCATTATCATTATTGATATCAGAACGTGTATCTTTGTATGTCAATGGGTAGACGTAGACTAAAATGTGGCAAGTATTTTGGTTATGGCTGCCTACGACTGGGACGTTACTTGTTTGGAGTTCACGTGATCTGAAGTATTTACAGGAATTATTAGGCATCTAACTCTCTATTCTTGTGTAATAATGCAATAAATCCATGTCATTTTGCATGTTAAAATAAAAAACTTTTAAAAAAGTATATACTCACAAGTATTCAAGGTGTGGGAGACCAGAGAAAGCATCATCTTTAATCGTGGTCATAGAATTTGCATTTAGAAGCCTGTAAAAAAAACAAAAACATTGGTTAGTAATCCCAAATTGTCACTTTTGTTCCACTCTTCTATGACAGACAGGAAAGGGTTTATTAGTGATAATCAATTACTACTAATCCAGTTTTTGTCTCCCTGTGTTGTCTGCTATCAGCCTTTAAATGTTAATCACTGTTAACCAATGAATCGATGGAGGTCTCAGGTTTCACAAAGTGCACTTACAGCAGCTGAAGAGAAGGCATGAGAGCAAACATGCCCTCTGTGAGTTCAGGGATGGATCCATTCACCATGCTCCTGTTGGAAGAGACACACACTAATCAAAGTCCAACTCTTGACTGCACGAGACATCTCACCTCATCGCTCTGTAGCAGACCCACTGAGAGCCCACTCTGCAGCACAGCAGCAACTGAACCCGTCTCCTTGAAAGCAGCATTGACTGTGTAATGCCACAATAAATAAATGATCACACTTGTGTTGTTTGAACTCACAGTGAGTTGATGTCGTTGGGTATAGTCCTGGGCATGTGAGCGGTACCCACGCAGATGATGGTCTCCTTGGAGCAGGCGCATCCTGAAGGACATTTGAAATTCCTCTTGGATTCAGCTGCTCCACTAATGTAGAGAAGTGTAAAAAGGACCAGGAGCCTCTGCCTGGTGGATGTCATGTTGCGTCTCGAGCGTGAAGAGCAATAAAACAGGAGCAATGGCAGCAGCTTATTTTATCCGTCTGGACGACATCAGTATGCAGCAGCGTGGAGGAAAGTCCTGACACAGGCTGACACAGGCTGCAGCACTGAGGGCTGCCTCCTCCACTGCACACTGATCGCAACGGTAGATCTTATTGTGGAGGACCCACACAGAGACACACACAAATAACACAAATGATTAGACTTAATAAGAATGATACACTTATTATGATAAGGTAATGTTACCACTGAATAATAGGCTGATTCATCTTTCAGCTACATGTGCAGGATCTGGTGATTCAGATGTTGAACTTTTAATGCAATTGTATATGTTTTTTAGTAATGTGTCAGCTCCCTTATCCAGTTCTGATCAAATGTGATCCCAGTTGGGCTATACACTGACAACATTGTGAACACTGAACCAACATACAATGGTGCAGTGGTGTGCGTGTGCAGTTACTTGAATATACCACTAGAGAGCAGCTGCTGATAACCAAAACCCAGAGTATTTCTGTGAACAAATGACAGTTTAGGACAGGGTTGGTCAATACGGCCAAAAATTCTATAAACATAACAAAATAATGCAATTCTATATCTATATCGTAAGTTTAAATTCTTCTTTCTGAGCAGACGCTTGATAAACAGCAAAACATTTTACAAATCTGATGCTGATCAATTGTGTCTTAAGTCGCCTCACTGTGCTCCCACTGTATATAATAGATTAACATTATACTGACATTCAACTTAAGTTATATTGCTATTGATGAAAATTATATTGTGGTAATTAATAATATTGTTTTCTTGCCCGGCCCAATAACATAGGGTACTCTAATGTGTGTTGAAAGATTTGTGTAATAATAATTTTCATATCTCAAAGCTGCCGTCCTCAGAGGTTGGATGTGACGTACAAACCTTTTTGAACTGTATAGACAGTATGCACTGTAAATACATGTGTTTCTTCACATCAATGCTCTATGGAACGATACAGTGGTGTCATGGTGTCCAAAGCAGAGCGGGAAGACACTCCCCTTGTGTAAGTGTTTTGATCCCAGATGCTGTGATCTTTATTTCGGTGGCCCCTCCGGTTGCTCCTCCCTGAAAAACTGTTGGTCTTCACCATATTTATAAATCAAGATGGCTGCAGTGATGTAAACATGACACCCAGGTGGTGTGAGGTGTCTGTCCTTCACAACGTCCACGGGCTGCGTTCACACTAGTGTGTTTCATTATTAAACAGTTTTAAAACAAAAGCAATCAACGCCCAAGTGTTTGAGCTCTGTATCAGAAATAAGCTCAGATTCAAGCGACCATTCACACACACTGGTTATGCGTGTGCCGGTGCCAGTGTACACATGGAGCAGGTTGTCTATTTACAGTTGGTTGCTTGGTTGCAGGAAATAATACTTAAGAGAAACAGCAGGGATTTCTTTTCTTGGACCAGTGACGATGTGGAACTGGTACTTAGACTAAGTCTTAGTAATGATGTGCATTCACTGCTGGTGGTCAAGTCCAGACTGATAAGCTGCAATCAGGAAGCAAATGTGTGTGTGTTCAGAGAAGTCTCAGTTTCTGCCTGTCCACACTGAACCTCCTGTAGGCTCTGAAGTCTTCAAACGAAGACAAGGCCTGCAGCGTTTCCAAATGTCTTTGTTTTAGGGCCTGGAAAACTTTGGAGTGTTGTGGATGCCAGACATAAACATAGCAAAAGTGATGCATTTTAAAAAACGTCAGCATGTTGTGCAGTTATAATGTATAATAAAAAATAGTTGGTGTATCACAGGTCTGTTATTTGCCTAATTTCACCACTACATTTTCTCTGTTTTCAAAGTGAAACACAATATAACATTCGTCGACAGAAGAATTCACTCAACAATTGTGTTGTTAGTTGTCGCAGCAGACCCTAACAAGGTGCTGACCTTTGCTGGACGACCAGTGGTCTGTGAGCATGAGTGAAACCAAATACCCATTGCCAGAAGGGAGCAACCGTACATGTCTGCCATTGCTGGCGTAATTCACAAGAGCTCCGCATGGAGCATTGCTGTTTTTAGGTTAGAGTTTCCCTGAAACACTTGAGACACGTGCAAAGTGAAACCAGATGACGCCACAGCAAACATCTCCTCGCCATTTCTTTCTAGACAACCATGAAGATATAGGATCTGGAAAACACAGATGTACAGATTTTTCACTTGTTTGACCTTTGACACGGTCGGTGTCATATTATTGCATTTTGCTCATGTCTTGAATGTCTGTACAACTTTATGAAAACAATGAAAATTAGTTGTGAATCTTTTGTTAAGTCAAAATCTTTTAACAGTGTCTCTTCAAAATAACTTACATTATAAATATAAATATTCTCTTTTAAATAGCTGGAAAAATAAAAAACAGAGCAATAAAAGACATTTGTCTTACAGTCTGCCTTGTTTTTACATAAACTACCACAATACTGTCTTGTACAGCACTAAATCATAATATACATTATCTCGAGGCACTTTATATAGAAGTTAAAGACCTTAGACATTTTAAAGAAACCCAACAGTTCCCACAATGAGCAAGCACTGTGGCGACTGTGGAGAGAAAAAACTCCCTCTGAATAACATGTAACCACATATTATTGTTTATATATGCTACTTTCAAATGCCAAATTACCAGTGCTGTGTCAAACTACACATGGCTCCCCATGACAGAGAAATATAAAGAAATACATTTGATAAATTCTGTGTATACGGCATCTTCTCCTCATACAGTTACACGAGTAAAACAACTCAAACTGTGGAGAAGTTTTACTGAGCACAACTCTGCTGTAACTGAAACCATCTCCTACTAAAGACAAATAAGCCGTCGGTCTACAGGTCAGTTTAGGTGGTTGGTGCGCAGTAACTTTGATATCCAGCAAATACAATTACACTTTAGCTACAGTACAAATATTTTAGGAGTCCTTCATGTGTCAGATGTATCTACTCAAACTTTACTGCCATCTGATGGTGGCTTCTGGTTATTTACCTAAAAGTAAAAGTACGATTTTGTAATCAGGCATTCTTTCATAATTGTTAATAATGCAGTTACAAATGTTTGAAATATGTTTAACAATCAAAGATTTTTATTTTAGCTGACAGAAAGGCATTGAGACAGTGGTCATAAATACTAATGAGTCATTAAGAAAGTTGTCTTTGATAATAAGGCAATGAGTCAGCAGTTGTAAAATCAGTATGAAGTTATACGATTAAGGTATATTTAAAGGCTCTGCAGCTCATTCTCAAACAGTAAATGGTCAAATGAAAATATCAAAGATCTTTAAAGATTTAATGAAACATTAATAAAGCGGTTTATTTCTTATTACAAACCCAAAAGACGACTGTTCTATTTGAAAGTGGCACATTCTTGAGGACTTTACAATCTGTGTGAGACCATCTATTCATAGACCTTTGATTATGTTTATTCCAGCTGTTGTAGTCAGAGGAAAGGTCACATTATGTAGAAACTTTATGATGTCTGACTGGCCTGAATACAAAAATACTGCTTTGACAATAATATTTCAAGTTTTCAATAATGTGACAATAAAATGCCTTTAGGCCTCATGAAATAAATGACACACAAAAAACCAGCAGGGACTCAGTAACATACAGTGATCATTAATCGTCCCTAAGTGAATTGTCATTATCGGTGGTTTCGGGTGACGCTCTAATCCCTCTCATCCACTAAACCAGTTCACATCTGACACTTTCAAATCCGAAGATGACCTTTTACCCTTCAAACCATGGAGTCGGGGTGGTGGGCTGTGGGTTGAGGGGGTAACCTGGAGAAGTGCAGCGTCTGGCTGCTGGTGACTGCTTCACAGCAGGTGCTCCAGCTCTCAGACTTCTCCAGTTCCCTCTCAGAAGCTGCAGAAGAGTTCAGAGGTCGGGATCCGAATCTCAGCTCGATGGTGCGGCCTCACTAAAAACAAACATGTCAAGAGCCAGTCTGTGTTTAATATTACCTGTGTAATTTATACCTCAGGGAACAACCCTACATTTCAAATGAAATTAAAATGTTCCTTCTTATTATACATCACTTGACAAGTTCACTCTTTTCTCCATTAAAGGTCCAGTGTGTAAGATTTAGGTGAAAGGGATTTTTGGCAGAAATTTAATATAAAATAATCCTAGTGATGTTTTCACTGGTGTGTTCATGTAAATTAAAAAATATGAATTGTTGTTTTCTTTACCATAGCATGACCCTTTATATCTACATGGAGGGGGGTCCTCTCTGTAGAGGCCGCCAAGTTTTTTACTGTCATTCAAACTGCACAAACTAAACTTTTGAGTTTTCATGTCAAATGAAGCTCCCCACAGGTGAGATGAGGAGTATTCAGCTGCAACCTGTAACTTCACCTCTATGTCACTAAATTCTACACACTGAGCCTTTAAGTAGCTCTAACCCTTAGCTTACCTTGCCAATGTTTGGTATCATATCAGAACATTGGAGAGACACATCACGTGATTTGATCACAGCGGTGTGATTGTAAACTCAAAGTTTCATCTACTGTTTATTCTGTATCAGCCTGGTTCCAGCTCCTATTCAAGTTTTATTAACACTAAACCCAAGGTTTGACTGTAAATGTTCATTTGGGACAAAGATTCTTCTCAGTCATCACCTTCTTCATT